AAATTTGAATATCAGACACTTAGGTGCAAGATTATGCCAACATTTCATGTTTTCCGTCCCGTTTTTGCTCATTTCTCTGAGGCAAAATTAGCAAGAACTTTGAACAATTGTTTATGAAACAACTTTTTGGGCTTTTCCCTGTACAGGCAAATTTTTGAGGATAAGCCACTTGATTTTAAGAAACCGCTTCAATGTCCCCCGGCGGTTTAACCGCAATCCCTAATTAAAGTCCACGACTCCGTGAAAAAAGCTTCCAAAGCCTAATTACGATGAAAATCTGGGCAAAAGCAGAAAGCTCGAACTGATAGAGCTTTCTTCATCGATTTCATTATCCAAACAGCCTAATCCCCCAGTAAATTAATTTGCGTCTATTAATTTAAAGGCGGGTTAAACCTACGATGGCTCTGAAAGTTTCCAATTTGAATAATAAACGATTTTAACTTCAATGGATTGCCATTAGGTTGTGCATTCTACAGTTTGGCAATAAAAGTTCTCGGATTAGTGATGTTCACATCCTCTAAGCATCTGTTGATTCTTTCAATTTCCAGTAAAAGTTTCCAAGTAAAAGTCCAGTGATTCAAACTTTCTAAGACTTGTTCTGAGCTTTGAACTTAGCGATAATTATTGCGAAACTTCGGCGGAACTGATGAGAAAAAGTGGAGCGAAAAAACTTTCTTGAATGCCTACAATCTAATTATCGAGCGGCTGAAGGAAAAACTCGGGCTTTCTCTCATCGATTTCATTACCTAAATAGCCTGAGCACACACTCATTATATTTGCGTGGGTAATTTTAAAGCCTGTAAACTTTGCGCCGGCTTCAAAAAAAACTACTCGAATTTTGTCCAGAACTTTTAAATTGATTAGCAATATTAACGATATAAAGGCCTGCGCATTTTTCCTAATTCAATGAATAGAAAAATGCGTTTTCCTGCCGGACTTTTCGGCTTCCAATGGACAGCTTTAATTTAGTATCCGAAACTTGTCGCTTTCCGAATTGTTTTATCGCTTTTCGCTGGATGTTTATGCGATTCTAGTTGGGCGGTTAACAGTTGAAATGAAAAACAATCCCCGTCTCTATCGATGAAGCTAATTATTTGAATAGTTTCATATTATATAGACTCTGGAACTTTAGAACATTCTCTCCTTTACTCTTTTTTCGGCCTGAAAACTCATTTTAACTGCAGTGAATCTCATTTAAATAAAATTAAACAGCAATGTTGATATGCCATAGCAGCTAATTAGGGGGCGAACATCCCTGTTGGGTGTTCCAGAATTTCAATAGATTTTTCAGCAAGTTCGCTTTGGTGTGGTTTGCTTTGCTAAAATCGAATTTAGGTTCTCCTTACTACTGAACATCATTAGGGCAAATGTCAGTATAATTTATACAGGGTGGTTCAAAATTGGCCATGGAATTATACAGAGTGACAATAAGATGGACAAGGATAAACGGTAAATTCAACTAGATTCTTTGTCTGCGGAACGTACAGTGGAGGTTTGTAAGAGTTAGCTAATTATTGGTAGATCGGAATATACAAGGGCGGATCCCCCTCATTCAATTCTCTATCCAACGATGCCAAAACGAATTCTCTGGCTCAAATGGTTCTTGAGAAACTTCGAAAAAAGCGGCGTCATGTTCAAGTGGATTTTGCAACTCAAATAAAACCACGCAAATCTAAAACTTCTTGAATTTAAGCATTTTTTGAAAAAACTGCCAACATTTCCTTATCGATGGTTCACTTTCTAAAAAGGTCATTTATTTCTCTCTAGAACGATGTACAAATGAGCGTTCTTGCTCATTTTGCCTCCGAGAAATGAGCAAAAAC